TGGACCTCGACCCCCCCCATTCCCTCTTACTCAGAGATACTGTAACTTTGAGATCAACCAACCAACGCTCCCCCCGCTGTTCCATACACCCCGCCCAGCCCGCCACGTTCCCGAGCCTCACGCAGCCTCACCTCACCTTCCCCCACCGCTGCCCTATGTTTCCAGTCCCTCAGCAAACCGCTTCTCAACTGCCGCTGCCGGCCGTCCAACCTGGAACCAGCACGAGCTTGTTGGCCACCCGCGCTTCGCCAGCCCCTTCCATAGCAATTACGTCATCCGCTTCGCCGATACATTGTTTTCCCTCGCTGCCCGTTCTCAGACACCGGGTCCGTCCATTGTCTCAACGTGTCTCATTACGCACAAGTCCTCACTTTCCCGGCCATTCGCTCCACTCCGTTTGTCCCGCCTGTTTTGCAGAGCATCTGCCTTGGAAACTGTATCTGCTGATTATTCCAATGCTAACTTATATATGCTCACATTTTAACTCTCGTTCAGTATTGCTATTCTTCGTTTACTGCGCTTAACGTGGCGCCGTCCTGCAGTTACAGCGGTATAATTCTTTTAAGATGTCTGAGATACACAATGGAGTACTGTTCTGTATTCCGAAACAGGCCCTTCCCGCTTTTATACATTGCGCGCGTTTTGAAAGAGGTCCTTATCTACAACCCGCCCTTCCCCCCGCCCGCCCTAGTCCATAATGTCTCGACCTTGTGCATTGCTACATATGGCACCCTCTCAGAAGCTGTGGCCCACTTTGAAGAATGAACTCCGGCACTGACGGGCAGTGTCACCCACTGTCCATCACCCGTCCCAGGTACCTGAACGTGTAGCTCACCGTCGGAGGGAGACCCCTCGCAATCTTCGAGACCCAGAGTCGCATACCATTGCCAAGCCATCACCATTTTTCACAACTTCTACAATACCCAACTAAATAAATTTGTCATTTCTGGTTGCAGCACTACAGCGCGCGACCAGCCAAAGGTCCACGACTATTCCATCGATAGAAATTATAAAATTCCATTTTCGTAGCTCACCACTCCGCCCTTGTCTCTACCCCGGATTTTCTTCCGTACTCTGTGCTGCATGCCGTACTGTTCAAAATACAAAGTACTTGAGACATTTTTCCGTGGAAAGACTCCTGCATTCAACGCAGATGCGATACTCACATGAATCTCCACTGCATCTGAAGGAAAATCAAAAGAAGACGTTTCGAGAGATGTTAGTGAAAGAATGCCGTACAGTGCCCCAAACCCTTGTTGTACGATATCGATGATACTCTCGTCACTCTCATGTTAATCGTTAGCGGGGGTGGCGGTACTCCTCCGAAAGAACGTGCACATCTTCATAAAAGTTATAAGTCAGCAGTGCTGAAAGAAAGTATGATGCGTGACAGGAGCCCCAACTACTAAAATGAAGCATCTCCACACTTCCGCAAGTATCTTCATTGCCAATTCTCCTGTCATATGTCTCTCAGACGACCTTCGTTTTGCCCTACAGTATATGAGGTCAAATGTTTTTGCATCAAAACAAGAAATATTCAAACGTTTAGTGAAAGATTTCTATACGTCGATTCTCTTTGTATGCGCTTGTACTTTAACCATGCGATTCATTCTGTTTTATGAACATCAGCGTCGTTTCTGAACACCCCAAAGATGATAATCTTGTGTGCCGTCTGCCGAAAATATGAGTGGTTTTAAGAGAATTCAGCAACACCTCAAAATTTGGACCCTTTTAGAAGAAGTTGATCGACTAAATGTGACACATCCCTAAAAACGTTTTCGGAACGGGCGCGTTTTTGGCCTGCCAGACTTTGGAACTCAACTGCCGAACATGCAGGAAGAAGAAGCATTGTGAGCAGTAATCGTAGCTGTCTCAATTTTCCAAGTTGAAAAGCGACCTCATATGCGGTCATTTCATCTTATCTGAGATCACTTAACATCTAGCTAGAGACACTAGAGGCAGCTTCCGGCAACCGCAGGCCCGCTGGAGATCGCGTTTCTTCAAAAAAAAAGGCTCAGGTATGCCTATGTGATATTTATTTGAATAGTGATGTGGAGGGTAGATACAGAACAGAACACCGCATTGAACCTGCAACATTGAGCTGCCACGAGGATTCGTAACGGCAGATTCGATACTTTCTAATATCTATAACCAAACATGGATGCTCAAAACGAATATTCCTTATTACTGCCGACGGCTTGCCTTGTTGCGATTCTCGGTATTCGCGGAGTAAAACTTCGGTGAACCGCTGGAAACGGATATTTCCAAAGACTCTTTCACAGTTCAGCCTTCGCACTTTGTGTAAGAGCCAGAAAATATCCGATCCGATCCACATTGACTGTTCTTGCGTCATCTCAAAACGTAACTCTGCTGTGACAGTGATTCAGCTTTCCGTGTAGGCATTTACCTTTGTCTCACGACATACTGTGTCGAATTATTGCTGCAGTTCTCCCATGGCACTATTCTTGAGGAAAGTAGACGTTGAAATGTACCATGAATATTAGAGCAGTCCACAGAGCCTCCTCAGGCCGCATACAGTCATCTGTAGGTCATCTGTCACTCCCTTATCCGACCAAGAAAAAGGAGAAAAATGTCAGACCGCACAGGACAGTCTGTCCCTCAGGGAATAGACTTATAACCAACGAGCGACGACGAGTAAACGAGGAGTCATCGGTCTCTTGTTCACACAAAAAAGGCAACGCTGGTGCATTTTTATATTCTCTCGCCCCAAGAGGATGCTGTTCAACGTCAGAATAGTCTTTCCCGCAACTAGGCGCAGAGGGCCATTCCATTATGGCCCAAAGAAGCCCTTCCTAATGTATCTCACATTGGCCACTCTGAGCCACTTATGCCGCAGTAAGCGCTCGAGCGAGGCTGTGTTGCGCTTGTGCAAAAGCCGCTCTAAGGAGAGTAAGGGCTTCACGGGTTTCTACCCATGTTTGAGAAGGATTTCCCGAAGAGTCAATGGCGTGTCATCACCATCGGTAAATCACCGGAAAAGCAACATAAAACTTCATAGGCGGCGGTGGTACTTCTCTAACTCCAGTACCACGTTGTTTGGGATGCCTTTACTTGTTACTCACTCGCATGGCTGATTCTGATATAAACAGCGTCTTTCTTCAACCCACAAACTGCTACGTGTACATGAGGATAGCTCATGCTTGGGTATGCCATGCGGAACTTTGACCTCAATTACACGGAGCCTCCGGAAATTATTTTTTGTGTCGGAGTCATATTTTTCTTTTGAATTTTATCCTACATCCCTGATGTAAATAATGTACGGTGTTGTGACAACACTGTTGTCAGAGGCTTCAATAAGAGATAGCCAATTAGGGCTCACACGAACCACGCGCTTCTTGATTATATCAGTATGTACAGCACGCACCCTTTGGTGCAAATGCCACGCTCTTTAATGCAAATGCCGCGCCCCCTCAAGCAACGACACGACTGCAAGAGGCCAACGCCCTTTTAATGAAATGTCGAGCCCTCGTAAGCAATGTCACGAACGCCAAGGGTCGCATGCTACCTAAATGGAACGCAGCATAAAGCGGACGCACAAATGCACAAAGCTAGAACAGATAGGGCGCCGAACCTTTCTTGCGGACAGACGCAATGCCACTGAGTGCTTGCGAACGCGACACAGCGCGCATAAACGAACTTGACGCGGAAAAGCGATTAGCACGAGCGGTACAAAAGACAGACATGCGAGAACATGCGCTAGGAAGAAAGGGGCACCGAATTAAACAAAGGAACCAGCAACTTCCGGGCATTGTGCCTTCTGATCTCGCCGACAATCACCTATCTCACTCGTTGCAACGTCAGCCCGTCCAGCGTAACTTCACAGTTATGGGCCCAGGCGGACCTAACATTCCGAGGAAGCCGACAGAGCCCCCTCCCTTCGATGCGAACACCAACAAATATCGATGGAGAATCAAAGTTCGTGCTTGGGTC